TATGCATATATTTTATATACACTTTTATGATATACACAAATATAAATACGTTAGATTTTTGCAATCGCTCAGTACGTACCCTTGAAATGTCCCCTTAAGTAAATATTTTTTGATTTTCCCTGAAACCATAAATCTACCGGTGAAGATTTCCTGGATTTTGACGATCTTAAGTTTAAAACTCTGTGTAGTTTTATTTAATTTAACTTTGAAATATATTACTTACGATGACTTGCCACGCCCTCCAGGGGAGGAAATCGCAATATGAGCAGCTTATTTGTTAGCATAATGTTGATGCTACAATTCCTTTTGGTAGATCACGCCTCTAAAAGGGCGTAATATTTGTTGGGCCCGAATTGGGGTATACATATGTATGTGTAATTTTTAATTTGTAAAGAATCTCAACAGCACCTTAGGTGCCGAACGAAAAATACTTCAGTCGAAAGTGCCCGACTGGCAGATACCCTGCACCCAACTGTAAACTGTTGTTTTAATCTAACCCTACATACATACATATATATAGACACACAACACTCACACACACAGACAGCTTATTCAGCGGCTATGACAGTTATTCAAGCCACCCTCTTCATTATGGAAATTAATTTATGGAAATAATTTTACGTGTAGTCTTCCGTGCATGAAGGTTCAAGTTTATTTTAAGTCATCGAGTTTGTTTTTTATATTTTTAGATAAATTAGGGAGGTACTTAGAAATGAAAATCTACGGAATCGAAATGAAAAATAGTAATAATGGTTGAAATTAAAGAAAACAGGATTTTTATCGATAATATCATGATGAGGTATCAAAAAGAAATTTTAAATTCATCGTGCATAAAATAAATGGGAGTATGTCATTTTATAGAGGTGTATATCAACGTTTTATATATAACATAAGTACAATGAATTATACACAAATAAAAAAGAGCACACAATTTATAGTTACCTTAATAATAACATATAGTTAATATTAATATACATATATTGCACATAATGTTAATATTAGTATTATCATTAAATGTTATTGTCCTGTATTTAGTGCTCATCGCCCTACTACTTGCATGAGCTTATCTATATATAGTAAATATATAGTACTCAAAGCATGTTATCAGGTCATGATAGTTCATATATGTACGTATATAATATATAAACCATACGTAGTGGCAACCCATTCTGAAATTATCTTGAGCATTGTTTTCAAAGACCCATAGAGTAGATTTGAATAGAACCGCAACAGATAGAGACATTCCAAGTCGGCCATGTTGCGATTTACAAACCTTTTTTTCTATTTATGTATTTTATTTCTTAGAGATTAAAATGAATCTAAAATTAAAACTAGCTTAAAAATAAAACTGAAGCACTGGCAACTGTGGCTTGTGTGTGTGCTTGTGCGTACAGTTTATTTAGTTTAAAGGAATTGAATGGCTTCATGCTTGGCATTTTTGTGTTCTTGATGCTGGCAGAATGCGTGGAATATGTAAATGCACATCTGTTTGGATTTCCAGATCGATGGGTCGAGCGGCATGCTGGAGTTAGCACTTATTTGGCACATTTTTAAAACTTTATTTTAGTTTTTACTGAGTGTGTGTGCCCAAGCCACAAATCAATCCAAATGCGGTTGCGCAGCTGTTGGCTATGGCCGAGGCAACACCAACACTAACACCAACACCAATACCAACACCAACACAAACATCAGCATTAACAACATCCAACATTAAAATGCAAATTGCAAACGGCAAACTGAAAACTGCAAACTGTAAGATGCACATCCAGAAATGCGTGCCGTGTATTGTGTGCTGGGTAACAGTAAAGGCGAAAGAGCAACAGCAACAACGAGAGCAACGCATGCAAAAACAACAAAAATGTCAACCATCGCACATTGAAATGAAATCTTTTTGGCCCATAAAACGCCAACTGTGGCCAAGTTGGTTCGCCACCAAAACCCAATCCCAAACACAAACCCAAGCCCGGACCCCAACCGCAAATTCACTTCCGTTTCGTGCCGTTTGTTGTTTACAACAACGTTGCACAGCAAAGTTGCTGGCACTTTTTTTTCTTTTCTTTTTTTTTTTTTTTTTTGGCTTTTTTTACCATCCGCCATTTTGCCCGAAGCCCGAAGAGGAGACTAAGCAGTGCCGTGGAGCCACTTTAATTAACAGCAATGGCACTTAGCCACCACCTGGCGGGTAGCTGGTCGCTAGGCACTTGTATTTCGTGTCGAGAAGCTATGCTCTGCTCAGCTCTTCTCTTGTCTGCTCCTTAATGAGCTACAAGATGGCGCTGACAAACGAAAGCTGTGAGAACCTGAAACGGGGTCGCTGCCAATCCGAGCCCGAGCCCGAGCCCGAGACTGAGCCCGAGCCCTGGGCCGGAGCTTTAACTGCTGCCCAATGCCCTGCTGACGGCGATTATTGGCCAACTGTGGTTTTATAATCAGCTCGCCGAGTCTCTTCTTCTTCCCTTTCCTCTTCCTCTTGCACTTCCTCATGCTTGATTGCACTCGAAGCGGATATGAAGAATATGACCAAAGAAAATCGCAGATATCCGGCCAGCCAAACGAATTACTCATTGATTTGCGCAACTTACGCCTCGACGAAGAGCTTTGGCTGCAAGTACCGAGAGAACATGTTAATATCTTAAATTAATATTGAAGCAAACGAAACTCTTTCAATACAGACCTGCTATAGGCTTTTAAGAGGAAAACTGCTAAATGAGTAAGCCTGCCTGGTCAATAGAAGTCATATGATTGATTATAAACTCAAACTTTCCATTTAAATAATGAAAATAACACTCATCGAGAAATTCCTTAAAGGAAACGGTTATATAGCAGTGGAGCTAAATAAGCAAGTAGCAGGGCATATTTTTGATCGATTTTAATCTAAAGATAATATTTAATCGCATGAAGTCAACTTATTCAAATATTTCACAAACACATTAATTTAAATCAAGTAAGAACGGCACAGTTGGATGTTACCAACTGCAGAATACTCAGTCACATCCCATCAGCAATTTTGTAGCTCAGTTTTGAGTTTCTAGTTTTTTTTAATACTGCAAAATTTTGATGCTTACGCTCAAAAAATATCAAAATTGCAGGGTATTTTTCGATATGCCACGCCCCTAAAGATGCGTAACAATTACTCTTGTTTCATCGATAGAAAAGGTTACTAGTAACTCAACTATCTAAATTTGAAGCTTCTAAAAAAATTGTTTGTAAACTTTTGCGGTTTGCCACGCCCCCTGTGGGTGGACACATAACCGACATGCCCCGTAGTGGCAAATCAGATGTGCAAAATTTCAATTCTAGCTTTAAAACTTTTGGACATACAGCTCTATCCCATATGCCACGCCCCCAATTGGCGTAGACATATATCTGCCATACCTTGTTCATAGTGATGGTCAACACGGTTCTACATACCAAATTTCAGGCCTCTAGCTCTTCAGCTAATATGATGGGTGGGCGGATCCGGAAAATGTTAACACTTTATAAATCAGAGATTTACACGAGTATGTGTTCCAAATTTCTATAGCTTCAATAGCGCCGAAAAAGTATACCATAGCCCTGATAAACTCATATTATTAAATACATACTATCTATAGGTTTTGCAAAAGCTCACTTCCGTTTGTTATTAAACTGAAATGGCTTAAGCCTCAGATAAATATTAAGTGTTGAGCTTTTCCTTTCGTGAAAGCCAATAGAAATAACTGCTAAAGTGGGCTATTTATATAAATAAATATTTAACATATCTGAATATTCAACATCTGAAATTTCAATATTGTTGCACGCCATCGCCATTGCATGTTTGAAAAAAAAAAAGAAAATATTATTATAAATAATCCCAACGGCGCTTGAAAAAGGACCGGGATATCTTCTAGTGGATATTTCTATGGCCATGGAAAAGCATATTTTCTAATGTCCGAGAGCTAGAATTATTCGAAACATTTGACACATTTGATTATATGTAAATTATGTATTCATAGACACACATATTATAATATTGTAGTATCTGAATTTCTCCACGCGTGCCTATTATATAGAAGGCCAATCAAATTGCATTGCGTATACACAGCGAGGCCGCAATTATGCTCAATGCAAGTGACATTAATGGAGGCTTTAGCCAAGGAGCAAATAGCGTAAAATGCGTATACTTGCCCCTTGCTATTTACCCCTTGCCACTTGCCCCTTCCCGTGGCACTAGCTTTTCTGCACGTGCCTGGCCGAGAGGCCTGGGTGAGGGCAGCTTGTCCTTAGCCAAAGTCATTATTCGTTATGCGTCCCAGACAGTTTCGCTTCATTGCATCTCCCCGACGAGCCGTTGCGGTAGTTGGGCTGGGCCCTCTGATTGCCTCGGCTTTTGTTCCAGCAATGCAATTTGCGCCTTAATTGAAACAATAAAATGTGATAAGTGCCGGGTGAAAAGTTTCTCGTATGCAATTTTCTTAGCCTCCCCCCACTCCCCCCGCGCCATTTAGGCCAAAATACACACATCAACTGCACAGAAGTCGGCAGTGGGAATGGGAATGACACGAAGATTGCAAATTGCAAATGGGCCCAAGATTGCGAGTGGCCCTTCAACAGGTCAAATGAGTGAAATCAAATATAATTACCCAAATCAATTATTTATCAAATAAACACAAATACTTGTACTACATTATAGCATTAAGTATTTATAAAAAATATGATTTTATATTTCAAGCCAGCAATTCATGTACATAGAGAATAAGGGCAATTTGAAGCTAATAAAAATTAAAGTTCATATTATATTTAAGATATTACTGACTTGTTGTAAGTTAACATAGTATATGCTCATATATAGCAGACCGGGATACAAGTTTAAGGTAGTGTATATAGGGACGAATAATTGATTATATTTCATATCAATCCGTCAATCTCTCTGCCATCTGTGTACTTATTAGAATTGACGACATAGATCGTCATAGATAATAAACTCATAGAAGAAAGATTGATATATATTGAATTAGATTCACCTAGATTCACTTAGATTTACAATTTCTTCTATAAAATTATTTAAATCTTAGCACTTCCAGATAGAATATGTACAACAAATCCAATTAGCATACAAGTAATCGTCTAAATATTTGATGAAATGGCTTTATCTTAGATCATATACATAGATATATAGACAGATATGTATATATTGTTTTAGATAACGGAATCCCAAATATGGGCAGCTCGGGCAAGTCTTGTGCTTTGGCTTTGAGCAAGATTCTGGCTTGTTGTTGTTGTCAGGTATAATTAGTGGAATTATTTGCTTTCATTGTATTAGTAGATTAGGCAGGTAATAATTGCGAATAGTTGACTTTGCACGGGCTGGCGCTGCTCACGGACTCGTGCCCTGTTCCTAATGAATTTGATTAATTAAAAGGCATATTTGGCCCCGCTTCTTTGGCTGGCTGAGCTGGCTCATGGGATACTTAAAGTTCTGTTTCTTTTCCTTTTGCTGGGCCCGCTGGCTTACGTAATTAATCAAAATATGCGCGCGACGTTGTGTCAAATATCACTGATGAGGCAGGAGGCAGGGGCAGGAGGCAGGGGCAGGAGGCGGGAGGCCGAAGCAGGGGGCAGGATAGCAGGATGGCAGCGAAACAGGGGATGGGTGGCGACCACCCGCTGCTTTTGTCCTAGTTGCCCTGGGCATGCCTTGGAATTTTCTTTTGCTCTGCCAATTTGTTAACCCCTTGGCCATGTCGCCAGGGGTGAAGGACGCACACACACGTGGGTCGCGCCGCGTCGACGTATATGAAATTATTTTTCAATTATCCATTCCGCCTGTCGCCAGCCACGCCCACGCATGTTTGTGACAAGTGCAGCTGTGCGCCGGGACATGGGGATCGCGTGGGGAGTGGGGAACGTTCTCCAGATGGGGGCTCGCTAATAAATTGGCTTTTTGCCAACTTGCTCAGCTCGCTGCTAACCAACTATTTCTCTTGCAGAAACCGATCTGATAGGCGCCGCTGAGTGGACAGGCTCGGCCAGCTCCGGTGCTAACATCGCGTATCCGGTGGGCGTCGGAGTGGGCGTGCCCTATCATCATGCCCACCACACCCACTCGCACTCGCACTCGCATTCGCATTCGCATAGCCACGCGGCGCACCACCATCACCACCTGCAGCATCAGGTGGCGCTTCCACCCCCACCTCCGCCTCCGGCTGCTGCTCCGGTGCCAGTGCCGGTGCCGGTGGGGACGGCGTCGGCCATGAACCACTATAGCAGCGCCATGAGCGGCTATGAGACAACCACGCTGGACGCGGCCAACTACCACATATCGACGGTGCTTCCCGAGATGCACGGCTTCTCCGCCGATCCGTATCAGACGGCCGCGGCCAGTGGCTACTGTGGCACCAGCTCCAAGTCAGATCTAGAGACGCTCAACGCCAGCTACGGAGCGACGCCCACGGCGTACAACAATGCGGCGGCCTGGTCGAATGGCTACAACAACTACCAATACGGCAGTTGCTCAGCAACGGCGGCCCAATACGGCGGAGCCGCTGGCCATGCCACGGCGCCGCCACCACCTGTCGTGCTATATCCACAACTCTACTCAACGGTCAACCAGAACCAGATACATCTGCACTTGCACAGCAGCGAGAAGCTGGAACAGTACCTGGCCACGGACCAACAGCTGACGATCAGCTCGCTGGCCAGCAATCGCTCGAGCATCGAGATTGGGCTGGGCACTGGCCTCAGCGGCGGCGTTTCGCTCGGCGAACAGGATCAGCAGGCGGCCGTTGCCATTGCCGAGCAGGCGGCCGAGGGCGCCAGCCAGAACAATTATCATTTGCATCATCATCATCATCATCAACAGCAGCAGCAGCAGCAGCTCGAGGCGCAGCGGCAGCTCGAGGCACAGCACCAGCAACAGCAGCAGCAGCAGCACCAGCAGCAACAGCAGCATCCAAGCGATGTTAGCAATGAGGCGGCACGCGAAGAGGATGTCGGCGACATGACGCAAGTCTGGCGTCCCTATTGACCCGATCTGATGGCAGGGCCACTCCAAAGAACTCGCGCCTTTCTGCACATAGAACTGAACTGAAAACCAAAATGAAAATGCAATTTCTGCGTGTATACTTTCTACTCTTCTTCTTCTTTATGTTTTTATCTTGCCTATGAAATTTAGCACGATGCAGAAATCATCTGAACATATTCGAATATCAAATATCAAATTAATCAATTTTTTTTTTTTTTTTTAACATATGTATATCGATAAGAACTGTAAATAGTTTCCATATAAATAAATAAATAATAATTGTATGTATTGGTATGGCACATTAAACGTTTATATTGAATACTTAGTATGTACAACTAAACTCTTAAGTATTTTTTTTTTTTTTTTTTATAGTATTAAGTGTAGATTAGTTGCGTCATGTGGCAGCAAAATGTCTGATGCGATTTTTGTTATTTTGTTTAAGTGACGCCGAAGCAGCGATGGAAGACTATTAATAAAGTTATCGTATTTATTTAAAATAAAATAAATGAGCGAAAGAAAACACAATTTATTAAGCAATGATCCAAGAGCCAGGCCCCCTCTCATGTCTCATGGTGGGGCCAGAGAGAAAAACAAAGCACAAAACCTAACCACACTCGAATGGAAAACAAGGAAAACAAAGAGGTAAAAATAACAACAATAACTACAGTTAATTATGCACATACATTAAACAACAATAGTTATAATAGTAATAAAAAAAAAAAAAAAAAGAAAAACATCAGCAACAATTGCGAAAATCATGAATTTTATGCGAAGCCTTAAGAGTGAGTGTTAATAAATTATGATTCAAGCCAGAGCGAAACACACACACACACACACATCCGCAGACACTCTCTTAGCCACTTAGATTTGGGCTACCAACTACAATTCCCTTGCTTGGCTAAGCTCCCTAACTCCAGCTCCATGGATCATCATGGGTCGTGCAATGTTTTTTTTTTTTCTCTGTGTTTCTGCGGTTTTGCCATAGCATAAATAAATTGAACACCCCGGCGCGGTTGCTACATCCGAAAGATGCAAAATCATAGCCCCCCTCCTCACGAGCCCCCTTCTCATATATAGGCTGTTTGTGCCAAATGCAACAAAAGCTGAGCTGCAAATCAAGCCGGTGCAGTCAATTGTTAAATTGCAAAAGGCAATGCCATTGTCGGCGTCAAAACTATGCGAAGCCCCCCTATATCGGATTAAGAAACTGAGGAAACTCTAGACAGTGCGAAATGCCCAATACCAGGTAGTGCTTGCTTGCTCGCTCGCTGCCTGACGGCCTGGCTGCCTGGTCTGACTGCCGGCAAAGAAAGTAAGCCGAGCGTTAAAGATGCCGACGAACGACAATCGAGCGATCGAACGATCGAACGATCGAAGCATGCGCCCCCGAAAAGGGGCAAGCAGACAACAAGAAGCCTGACACACGCCTGGCTCAAGATTCTGTTGCAGCTGCAGGCGGGCAGCAGCCTCAGCCTCAGCCTCAGCCCCAGTCTCGGCTTCGCTCGGCTCGACCCGGACCGTAGCTCAGGCGTTTGGCTCCAGGTTTTTAGAACGTGCACGTAAATGATCTGGCTGATCGTCAGTTTCATCGCTTGTCGCTTATACGAGTGCCCGAGTACATTCAATCAGCTTGCGGTGGCAGCGACTCAAGGCCCAGCGCAGAACTTTGTCAGCAGTTTATGATGTGCGACTTGAATTACCATACGAGGTGGCTCGAATGCTCCAGGTCCAGGCTCAGACACTAGGCTATTGTTCGCAGTGGCTAATTAACTTTCAGCTGGGCCTACGACTCTGCTACAAGCATTGCCAGCCAACCAGTCAGTTAGTCAGCTAGTCAGTTAGTCAGTTAGCCAGTTAGCCAGTGTATCGGCCAGTCAGCTGAGCTGAGCTTATCTCGAAACTTGTGCGGTCTCATTGCCAGCTAGCCCGCTAGCCAGCTAGCCAGCTACCGTATTATTTAAGTAATATGGTCTTCGACTGGGTGGTCCCGTCACAATTTTGAACACAACTCGCAGCATAACGCATATTGATGTCCATAAAGCAAGAGCCAGGTTTTTTGAGTCAGCATAGTTTCTGGAATTCAGGTCTGGAATTCGCGATAGAAGAACCCATAAATTTGCTGGACTTATGAAGAAAACAAATCAAGTTGACGCTTTTGAAAAGCTTTCTCTAATATTAATTCATGTATATTATTTTATTAAAATTAATTCATTTATTTTATTTCA